AGAGTTGCTCCATCTTGTAAAACGGTGAGAGAGAAGAACACACGCTCGCTCGCTCGCTCTTCTCTCTTGACTGGTTGAAGCTTTTAAACAGTACGAAAGACAGACCTCATCTATAACCTGTTTGCAAACAAGTCGGTGCTTTTCCAAAGATCTGATTAATCTTCCACGATGGGATAGCTACTGTACTTTTCTCCCCCCCCCCGCGTCCCTATTAATACCTAATATACGTCACCGTTTGGGGGGGGATAGTTCGTGTTGGCTGTGTTTCACAGTTCGCTACGCAGGCTTCCCACAACTCCGAAGTTACGTGGCTCTAAATTATTTATTGAATCCAACTTGCAGTTTGTGACTTGTGTCTGGTTTTCTGAAGCGTTAGGTGGTCACTGAAAAGAATAACACGCTCATAAGTGATTTTTTAAAATCATGATTTTTTTTACATACCTGAATAAAAGACAGACGTGCGAAGGGGGAAAAAAAAACCATAAGAAATACGGAGGAAGACATATGGCTGAGATTTGACAGCTCTTTTTGAAGCAGGAAATCCTGGTTCAAGTGTTTAATTTTTGCGAATACCGGCAAAACTCTGCTGAATCTGAACGGGTGGGGGCTTATCAAAGTGTCAAAATAAACAACTCCGCTACCATACTGTGTGAGGACCGATTTTACATAGAGCTGAACATTTAGAAGTAAGAACTGGAGCCTCATTAAAGTGTTACAATGCTTTATGTCACACTTACACATCTCATTCTTCATGAAGTTTATGACCTTTTTTGTTTCTTAACGTTATTTTAGAAGTGTCAACATATCGTTTTGAAATTTAAAAACATCAAATTATGTTAAATTATCCCCAAACACAGATTTTAGATACTCAGAGAAAAATGTCAAACCATAAAGTTAACATTGGAACACTTTCTAAACGAAAGCAATTTATTTGTTAATAAAATGAAAGCTGCAAAGGTCATAATTTCATACTTTTTTTTTGTTTCAGCCATGCTTTCTGTAATCTGCATTTTAACATTTTTTCTACTAGTCTCAAGAGCATTATAGATCTAATGAATGCACATCACTGAGTTTTTACAAAACAGAGTACACACACATATACATATGAAAAAGTTAGCTTTAGTATTCAATACGTAACACCTTCTTTTAAGAGCAGGTTATTATAATAATATGATCATTATCATTAACAATATTTTATAATATGTCATTTTCAACTTTAACTCAAAGTAACAGATATAGAAAACCAGCCACTGTTTCAGTTTTTGTACTCACTGTGTTTGTGTGGGGGGTGTTTATAGTTCCAAATGAAACAGAATAAATTCATGGTACTTTGGTATATATATATATATTACTTCATAGTGACTAAAAAAGAAAGTTACATTTTCGAGTTTCCCACATTATTACAGAATGGCACTTGTTTTTTGTTTTAGATTTCAGCCTTCTGTGATAATATTTCTCAAGTGTTTAAACAACCAACAATCATGTGTTGATTGAAGGAAAGGGGGGGGGGATATGGTGTTAATTAAATACATTTTTTTTTAAAAAAATGGATGGTTCCATTTTAAAATTAATATTAATTTAAACTCTCGCTCTCTGTATGTGTGGGTATATACACACGTCTATGATGAACATTGACAGAAGTTACTAGTACTTTGAAGTTATGGATAGGGGTTTCTTCCACTTAGTTCAAAGTTTGTGATTGTTTTATGGAAAAAGATTAAACTCCTGAGAGAAATGTTATGATGAAAAATATTGTCTTCAGGATTCGGGTTTAGATCACAACTATGGTTTAAAATAAGTTTTTATCTCACATGTGAGATATATTTGTTTGAATAAGCATAGTATTTTTACTTTCAAAATTTCTTTTCAGCTGCAGAAAATGTTTTAAATTACAGTCATTTTATAAGAATTGCTTCTAGCAAGAGAAAAAAAAAGTCTGGAAAACCCATAATTTAGACAAGTACCTACATTTTATTTGCTCTGTGCTGCTGAGATTTAGAATCCCTTCCCATTTACAGTTTACTTTTCACGGAACATTATTAACTTTTTGGCTTCATACATGATTTTCTGTCAGATGCTTTTGATTTGTAATTTAGCAAAGTATAATAAACAGTGCAAAAGTCATGAATTTTCTCCTGTATCCTGAGCTCTGTGGTAGGGAAAATGTGATAAAATGTGTACCTTAAGTCTTGTTTGATGATCTCTCAAAGCAAGTTTGCCTTCTGGAAATAATTTCTGGGGTTGAAGAGCATGGTATTAACAGATTTAATGTGGCTATTCAGTGGATTGGTGGAGTACTATGTGAGGTTTAACAAAATGAGAGAGACAAATTGAACATCAACAATACTACATCTGTGAAGAATTATAAATTTAATTAGGGGAAAAGGCAAACTTAAAAGATCTCATTAACTAATCAGAATTAGATTTTACTAGTTTATGATACTTAAATGTCATTTTGGTGTTACTGGCTTAAGATGCTAGTAGCTCATCCTTTTTCACTATGTACATACTAAGAGTTGCAGTATCTGTAGTAGGTGTGAAAACTTAGCATTTTATTAGCCTAGAGTCACTTACAAAATAGTGATCTTATAGTGATTATTTTAAAGAGGATCTATATCACTTTCCATTTAAAAGATAGTCGGTCAGTTTTAACTGTGCATGGTATATGCCTATTGCCCACATTTCCCACCCACCCCGCTCCATTTTAAAGTGTCCATTCTTGAATTAATTCTAATTATCATTCAAACCTTTTTCCTTGTGGTTAATTAATGAGGCATTAAACTATATTTTTGAACAACCTATACTTTATAAGTAATGTTGTCTTAGACAACAATAGACACTGAAGTACCACCCATACATGCATTTTCTCTATAAACTGGGCATCCTAAGTACAGTTCTTCACTGCACTGCAGATTTGCATCCCACATAAAAAACTGAAAACATATGAAGTGTAGCATTTTGTAAATTGTAACTAATTTCACCAACATCTGTATCTAATTGTTGTATGCATTTGCATTCTTGAGAGTAGATTTATTTTTCCTGTACCACTATGTGGATTCAGTTGACCAGTCTAAGTGAAGATTAGTAGTTTTAAAGTTATTTTGATTAAAGAATCATTTTTAAAAACCATAACACACAACACATGGTTTAAATAATCCTTAATAGGCAAAGGACTGTAACTGAAGCATGACTAATGAAAATGAAGATCTTGGACATGAAGTCTTACAGCTTATGGAGCATTAAAAAGGCATGCAAATATCTGCATCATATAGGGTATCACCTATGCAAGTATCTGCTAGTTCTGGCTTTAGAAAAGATAGCAGTGGTGGGATGTTTTATTATTGTTTATTTTCAGAACCAGTTGTTGTTGATTAGTGTTCTGGAATTAATAAATTATATTCTATATATTATTATAATCTCATCATAAAATAATATAAAAGATAAATTTATATTACTACCAGTTTGCTTTAAATTATTGTTTTCAAGTGGTCTTCCACATTTTTAACCAGAGATAGCTCTTAAGTATGCTAAGTTACCACCTATAATTTATTCAAGGTGTACAGAAGTAGCAAGAGAGACAATATCCTGAAGGCATTCTACTGCAGTGTCTAGGGTTAAGAGTAAAAAAGTTTCCATCTAACACTTGAGTCTTTTTCTCTTTCTTTTTTAAAAAAACTTTGGCTTAGTTGATACAAATACACATATGATACTCTAGTTTGAGTTGGCTTGCTATGGTCTATTAAAAAACACACTATGGAGCATTTTAAATACTGTTCAGGAAAAACATTGCAGTTTTTTTTCTCTGTGTGTGTGTTACTGAGCACTTTTTGCCATTGTGTGTAACATTATATGTTGTCTGGCTGCTTATAGGAGCAGTATACTTTTGCTCAAGTAGTAATTCTGCCAGTGATTAAAAATAACAAAAGCTACAGACACATAAGTGAGATTTGCCTGAATGACTTTTATGGCACTTAAAATGCCTCATCTCTCTTGTCTTTGTTCTGTGATCATCTAAGAGATGTCAGTTCAGGTTGAGTGGAATTCTGAATCCAGACATTTGGACAATGTATGTCCTACCTGGGGAAGTTTTGTTTGGGCTTTCAATCCAGCAGCCAGTCTTCACCTGGGCTTTATCACCTGCTGGCAGTTGTTATTGAGGAAACTGGTATCAAAGAGTATTAGTTAACTGCAGCCCAACAGAACACATTTTGTGATAACAAGAAACCATGCAATATAAGTCTGCAAAATATTTTTTGTAAAAAAAGAGTGCCTCCTAAACAGTCTGCATTTATTAAGAATGCACAAATGCTGTTAACTATTACTGTGTTTATCTAAATGATAACATGCCTTTTTTAGATAATAGCATACATACTTTGAAACTTTTTTGTACACGTTTTTCCGTATTTAGTCATTTCTAGTGTAACTTTTGTTGGGAAGGGATGAAATTGGAGGAAGGGGTATTTCTGGCCTAGTTAAATCTATTATTTCAGTTTATAGATGTATAACATAGCACTATACTTTGAATCTTTCAACATTACTTGCAGACTTTCAAAATTGACTAGAGGCTGGACACACAAACATAAATGACAGTGAGTGGGGAATGAAGATGAAAACCAATATGATAAAAGATAAGAGACTGTTAAAGAGTTAAAGGAGTGGGAGGGGAATGTAATTCAGCCAGTGATAACAAAAGCTGAAAGATCTTCAGAGGCTGCTGGGGTGCTAATGCTAGAGCTTCTGCTTCTCTTCGATATGCCTTCCCAGTTAATAGCTACCTTACCCAGGCACCTCTTCCTAAACTACCTTAGCAAGACTACTTTACATGTTGATTAGGGGAGGGGTAATCCAGTGTGCAGCTGTCACAGGCGAATGATGAATCACTATCCCGTCATTTGGCTGCCTTCCACATGACATGGGCAGGAGGGGGACAGACCTGCTGGAGGAAACAACAGTTGAGGCTTCAATTTAAAGACAATATGTCTTTCACTGCAGCAGTAACCCCCCTCCCTTCTCTTTTGGTTAAAAGACAGCATTACCTTCCCAAGGAAGATTTCTTTGTTTAGTTAGATTAAGACCTGACATGAAAGTAGAATAACAGAGGCTTCTATTTGTGTCCCTGGTTTGCAGGTGCAAAAATCCCAAACCAGTTCAGATGTTGCTGTTTCCTCAGTTTGCAGGTAAGCATAAGATCAAGATGGCTTTTCTATGAAATGAAGGGTTTTTAAAAAAAATTCTGGTGAGATATAGCAAGGATATTTGCGTGTAAATTTTAATCTGGAGTAAGAATTTTCAGTGTTTTGAGATGTAACTTAAATATGTGCCAAATATCTAGACAGTTCCATTCAGCAACAAACATTTTTCCATTGTGTGTATTGAGATAGTTTTTTTTAATTACCAGGAATTTTGTATTTAAATCTATTCCTATTAGAACTTTTGAAAGTCAGTGTCATGTATGGAAACAACTGTAGCATGGAATATTTTCCTATGAAAGTAAAATATGTTTTCATAGTAGAAAATTGTACAGTTTAAGCTCATCCATGCTTACTTGGAAGTAAATCCCACTGACATCCCTGTGATTTTCTCCCAGGTAAAGCTGAATACATTTTCAGATGTAATTGACCTGCTTTTGTAAACTTTGTGTATACTGTGTAAACCTATCCTAAGAAGGTAGGGCTTTTTCCCAACAAAAGATGTTTTAAAAATGTGAAATCCAAAAGCATTTGGGAACCTTGGCTTTTTCTTCATTCTTGAAGTGCTTTCAGTCAGCATCTGTATGTAGACCTCCCATTTTTCTAGAATGTGTTATTCGACCATTGGCTCTTAATTGCCAAATAAGTGTATACTATTTAATAGAATGCAAATAGCAGTTAATATTTTCAAAGTATTGTTTTGATTAGGAAATCACAGTATTTTATTTAATCAGTTAAGATACACAAAAGAGATGATATAAGTAAAATATTGACTTTTTAATACTGATTTTCAGTTCTTGTTTTATTTTGGTTAAGATACACAAAAGAGATGATATAGTCAGTAAAATATTGACTTTTAAATACTGATTTTCAGTTCTTGTTTTATTTTGTTTAAGTGACAGTTCAAGTACTGCAAAGTGCTAAGGCATACTAATGCTTGTATAGCTTCACTGTATGTTGGCCTTATCCCTTTTCAATTGGGCACGCTTTAAGTAATCCACAAAGCAAACAAGAGAGTAGACATAATGTTTAATGCTGCATTTGTTTCAGCGGAAACAGAGGAACAATTAAGTAGTTTGCTAGAGTAAACACATGCATCATGAATATCTCATTCCTTGTCAGTAGACTGTAGATTTAACTATTACTTAATGTGTTTTGTTTGGTTTGGAAGCCCATTAAATTGCAATTGGGTGGTAAATTACATGCAAGCAAACAGTATAAGTTTATGGCTTTTGGGATGTAGTTTTTAATCCATTTTTATTTTTTTGCCATTCATACATATTCTATTAAAAATAATTGGTATGGACTGACAAAAGGTATTTTTAGTCTTTTAGAGCTTGAATTTTATAAATATTAGCATTAATCATGAATTGATTACATGGAATTACCCAAATAAATTGAGACAGACTATTTTGAGAATATAATCATGCACTTAAAATAGTATAACTGGTCATATAGTTGATAAGTGGAAGGATGAAAATTGTTCTTCCATAATCAGATTGAATGTATTAGTCAAATTTGCTAACTTTTTTTTAGGTCTATGGAAATGCAGGATCTAGCCAGCCCACATAGCCGTCTAAGTGGTAGTAGTGAATCCCCTAATGGTCCAAAACTTGATAATTCTCACATAAATAATAATTCCATGACACCCAATGGCACAGAAGGTGAGTTCTTATTTCTCTTTGAATACTCCTAATATATGATGTTGCCTTAGGCCTAGTTCTGATGCCAAACCTGTGTCTAGGGATATACCACTTCATATAGCACATGGTGTACATAAAGAACAACAGAATGCCAGGGGAGAAATAAAATGTTTGTTCTCGAACATCTCATTGTCTATGTGGAAGATTTGTTTTTGTATGGTGGTAACACCCCCTCACCCAAAGAGTCTGAAGATATATCAGCTCTGTGAGACGTTACTGTGCAATTCTATGCAGCATTACTGCTGAACTGAATAATGCTGCATAGGACTGTCAGTTATCCATTCTATATTAAGTAATTTGCCTAAATTTACAGAATGTTCCTACTCTCTAGATTTCAATGTTTTGTGCAGTATGATGTTAAATACTTACAACTCTCAGTATTATCAGTTTGATTGGTTTGATATGGACATAATTGATCATAAATTGACTATAGCAATAAATGTGGCTTCAGGGTCGTATAATATATATTTACACTGTGCTTTCACTTTGCATTGTTAAATCTGTAATAATAACAAAAATTTGTGATACAGACAAATTAAGTAATACAGGCCTCAATGCTTTTGTCTCCCATTGTAGCATGTTTACCTCTTAGGTAGCTCAGTAGTGGAAAGTATAAACAGCTGTAGTTTGTGCAGTGTACATGTATTACACTGTAAGAGATGAGAATTAATAGGTATGCTAAAACCCTACATGTGCACACAGAATGAGTAGGGTGGTCTTGGCATATCAATAGTATTAGGATAATCCATCTGAGGTTTTTCTGAGGAATGTTGAAGATGTTCATATAAATTATTTGTAATAAATGTCAGTTGTTCTGAATCTAAGTTAACAGAATCTAAGTCTTAAATTTTAGCATTTCTTTATCATTAGATAGTATTGTATGTTAAAAACAAATTTATGAAAATTAGACATTTTTGTTAGATTGGTTATGTATTTTAAGAAAATGCATCAGTCAAACAAATGATATTGTCTATTCATCAGATACTTGTGCACACCTTCTCCCAAACATTTCTCCTCTAATTTCTTAATCTAAAAGTATTTGGGATATCATATGTAGTACCAGGCTATGCTTCATTTGTACTTTTACCTGTCATTTCCATTGAATCAGATAGATCTAGATGCTCTTTTAATTTCTCTAAACTACACATTAAAGCAGCATTTAGATTATCTGATTTATCTAGTCTTTTCACAGAGTATATATATTGTATTAATTGAAAATGTAGTGATGAGTTTAGTCCTGTAATCTACTTTGAAACTTTTAACTTCAGGTTTTGAAACCTAAGCATACTTTAACTCATCCTAGTGATCAACCCATAAGACCTGCTTCCTGTTCCTAAATAAACAGACTTAGAAGTTAAGTCAATGGAATGGATTGATTTCAATGGAACTTATTTCCAAGTAAAGTGTGCTTAGGATCAGAGCCTGCAGTGCTGCCTTTAATATAATTTCTTTATAGGAAATAGTTTTTGATGGACTTTTTCTACATATGCTTATGGGATGTATGTAAAAAAGTACTAGCACTTTATTTTCTTTGTAATTTTCCTTCAGGTGACATGACTCTGCTCAGCACTGCAGACTGGTTGTTAAATTCTAATACACAGACCACTGCAGGTTTGTGTAGCCTTGGTGAATGCACAATTGTTAGCATGCATGTTAAGGTTTTGCAAATTCTCAGAAAGTTCTGACTAAAAGTGTAAAATGCTGTGGGTTATTTTCAGTGATGAGCCTGATTTTGCCGGGGGGGGGGGGGGTATCTAATCCGGGTTTAATTCCCATGCACTAGCAAGGCCAAACCTGCTTTTCAGCGATATATGCAACTTCCACTGAACACAGTGGGAGCTGTTCTATCTCCTTTATATGAATTAATGTTACTTTAGTTTGCAGAATATTGGAAGGTAGACAATATCAATTTAAAACTAAAATTATTACAAAGACTAAAATATTCTTATAGTAGATTGTGTCTACTTTTATTTTCCGTATGTTTATTTTAAAATTATTCAGATAGAGCTGCTTGTTTATTGCATGTGCGATAAAATAGGTTACAGAATAAACAGGTGATCAGTGTTTGATAACGGCTAAGGATAGAATGGACCAGATTCTTACATATACTGTGACCTTATCACTACAACAGCATTGCAGTCACATCTTAATTTAAATGAAAATAGGTCTTGCAGATTGTATGGGATTGTTTTTGCATGTTAATAAATTGATTCAGAAGCAATTGTGACATCATTAAGGAATATTACAATCCAGAACCTTGTAGGGTTAAATGCGTTCTCTGAGTTAAAGAAATGCCAAAATGAAATGGCATGTCAAACCTATATTCTTTAATACTTTTCAAATGTGCCTCTTATGTACTACAGGAGGATGTGGTTGATAGATGTCTATCTGTCGTTAGCTAATATTTTTCCCTTCACACTTAGTGGTTAACCTTTTTAGAGCAAGGAATTTGAGTTTAGTTGGGTGATGGAATATTTTGCTACAATTTGTACTTAGTATGTTTTTATGTATTACACCGTCAGAAGTCTTCATGCTGCTTACATAACACCCATATTTGTGGGAACAAAAGATCTATCCAGAAGTGACAGAATACGACTGAACCAAATTAATATAATGCATCTTAACATCTTGTGGTACTATGGGGAGAAATGCTATTTATTTATCCTGATCCTTAGTGTGTTTACTCAGAAAAAGTCCCAATCAATTCAGAAAGATTTCCCCCCCAAAATTAAGTTTATGTTTTGGATTACAGTTTATTAATTTATTTCCTTTAGTAAGTTTCAGGATTTATTATTTTTGCCTCATAAGTTACAGTTTTTGTTTTGCGTCATACCCACATTCCTTTGATTCATGTTGGGAGAAAATGAAAGTATTGCTGAAGTTACAACTTGTTACCTTTGTCATAAACTCTGCTCTGATCCCAGATGGGGAATCAGTATTCAGATAGGGATGGAATAGGGAAAGTGAATCTTGACTCATAGCAAAACTGTTTAGGCACTTATCAAAATGATACCTACAAAAACAATTATTATAGGTAATAATAGCAAATACATGATTGGATGCTATGACTGGCAAAAGAAGCTTTTAATTATTCAGCTATATAGTGAGCATTTTTGCAACACTGTTTCAAAACAGACCAGAGGTGGCAAGGAAAAGGTCCAGCAGACTATTTTGTGCTGTGTATGATTATTGAAGTGAATAAGCAAATCAGATGTTCAGTCACATTTTTAATGGTATGAAGTGTTTTGGGATGCTCGCAATACGTCATATGTTATAGAGGGTTCAAATTGTTGTAGTACTGGAATAGATGTGCTGGTATTAACAAATATCTGTCAGTATAATAGAAGAAGGTTATGTGCTGTTGTGAAAGATAGTAGTGAGGTAGATTTTCATGTCTACCTTTTTTGTATAAAAGCAATGCTTCGATAGCATTATTTTTGGGGAAAAAATGCTATAAGAAAAATGCAACATACTGATTATCTCATCATTGGTGCAGCAGCAACTTCAGGTTGCCAGATTAATCCATTCAGTGTATGTTTGTATGTGCATGCCTATAAGTAGCCAATACAGAAATACTCTTCATTTCATCCTTTATTTTATGTGGTAGAATTGTAGGTAGAATTACTCAGCACTAATAACCTAACTTACTCCAGAGATCATTTGGTGGAGGGTAAACTGTTATGGCAGATTTGACTGCCTTCCCTGTACGTTTGTGCATATTTTAATTTCTGTGTATTTTTAGGTGCAATATTTGCATTTTTAAATTTTGTGCATTGTTTAATCTGCGTTTTTTCATCTTGCTAGTGGACTGCAAAGTTTTGTGTTCTTATGATTTGGTGTTGCATTGTTAGCTGCCTTGAGTCTGAGCAGATAAGGAAATATAAAAGTATTTAAAATAAATAAATCAAAATGAACACATTGGTAATGGGGACAGCTTCTTACGTGTAACTAGGGCTTCTGAGATCTCCCTTCTTATTGAAGCACTCCACAATTTCTGAAAGGTGGAGATCCTCTGAAGTGGCATCCAATGTGGTACAAGGTGCTGCAACTGGAAGAGGAAATTGTGGAAGCTCATAGGTCTTACCTCATACATGGATCTCAGCCATTGGATGCAATCCAGAGAATGTCAGGGATACCTAAATCCTGTTCAAATCAATGAGCAATGTATTAGGTCCCTTTTATTTCAGTGGAATATGAGCATCTTGTGAGATCTAATTTCCTATGGTTTGATATAACTTACCTTCAACTGAGCACATGTAGTATCATAATATTACAGATAGATCTTCATGTGTTCTTAGCCTGTAAGTACGGGAATTTATTAAAATTACCTGGCTGTAATGTATGCATTTTGACATTTTGTGTGAATTGAATGTGCTATTATAAGCATTTTATTCCTTTCACTGTTACTTGTAATTTTCTAAACATTTACAATGGGGTTATCATTGGTCCAGATGTGTCAATTTTTATCCATTTTTTATTCTGATGCTAATTTTTATGTTTCTACCTATTGCCAGTCTTATGTAATTTCAGTAGGGTTGCCAGCCTCCAGGGGAGGCCTGGAGATCTCCTGTTTTTGCAACTGATCTCCAGCTGACAGAGATCAGTCTACCAATGTCATTTTGCAATTTTTGTTCACTTCCTCCTTATGTTCTTACTCTTCCTGCCTCTTAATTATCCTGTTACATTATATTTCTTATGTTTCCAATTTGAAGGGAAAAAATTAAGAACTTTAGTGTTCTTAACTTTATTACTATACTGTTTAGATGTGTGAGAGGTTGAATAGTAGGGTACATTTTAGTTCTGGTCTGTCATGCAGTTATTAACTTGGGTGACAGTAAGATAACTCTTTGCTAAAGCAGTAACATACTATTTCTGTCTTAGTAGAGCAGCTAATAGGTATTTTATTTTCACACTTCCCACTTTGTTTAAATTGGGATACTTGAATCTGGAAGTCATTTTGCTATCAGGCAGTGGCCATATATGGGAAGCATTAGCTGAACAAGGAAATCTTGGGACCTTCATGGTACTCTGGATAGGTTGGTTTTCAGTATGTTATGCTATATAAAAGACATGTCCTAAGCCCCACCTTTGGTTTGCAGAAGGCATAGATGGTTATACTCTGTATATTTAGGAAAGGGGAAGCCTAACATTTGTTTTCACTGGAGAAATTGTATTTTTGAAACACAAGTTGTTTTTTAAAATTGTAAACTCCAATTTAGAATCTGTATTCATGATATAACAGTTAATATAGAGAAGTTAATAATAAATACAAATGTGGACCAGAGTTCACCAGTAATTAAATCTTGTGGCAAAACTTAGTCCTTTCATCTATATATCTAATTCCAACAGAGGGCGTGTTGTGCGGATACTTATTTCCACTAACAGGAAGCTCACTCTGCCCCAACAGCTTTTCCTACATAGTCAGTATACTTCCTGTGTCTGCAGAAAAATCCAAGAAGTAAAAAAATCCCTCCAGGGATGGCTGAATTCCCCCCAATACCTTTTGAAATGGCCTCTGCAGGGATCTAACTCCAGGCATCAACGGTGAGAGAGAGATTAGAACGTTCAGGGAGGCAGTGGGGGCAGCCCCGTAGCTAGGGAATTCTTTGGGAGGGGGCCTTGGGGGGGCCCACCAGCTAATTAAATGGAAGTACAGTGCAGGTGGTAAGTTGGAGCACTTTGGGGGCAGCCCTGGAGGGAGGGGGCCCAAAAGAAACACAAGTCTAGAATCCAGTTGTAATTCTGGGGGGTCCCCAAGTCCCATTTGGAGGTTGGCAACTCTAGGCCTGGCAGTATAGGGTTGCCAGGTCCCCCCTGATTTGCATGACTCACCTAGCCTTGGCTGCTTGCTACCATTCATCAGCAGCCACCCTATGAAAGCCAGTGAGGTGCAGCAGTTAGAGCTTCAAAGTAGGGTCTGCAAGACCCAGGTTCAGATCCTCATCTTGCAGTGGAAGCTGGCTGCGTGATTTTGGACCAGTCACATATTTCAGCCTAACCAACCTCATAGGGTTGTTGTGCAGATAAAAAGGAGGAGGGAATAATGAAAGCTGCTTTGGTCCCCACTGTGGAGAAAGGCTGTAATTTTCCTAGGTAGAGGCTGGGGGTGGAGATGAAAAGCAGAAGACAGAGAGGCAGATAAAGGTAAACTGGCTGTTAAATAAATAAATACGGTTGCCAACTCCAGGTTGGGAAATTCCTGGACATTTGAGGGGTGGAGCAGAAAAAGAGAGAGAAAGAGTGATGAAGTGGGGAGGCAGAAAAACAATGAGAAAGATGACAGGTCAGAAAGAGAGAGGAAGTCATATGCATGGAGGAGAAATAGAGAGCAAGAAAAGGGGGGCAGAGGGGAGAAATAGTGTGAGAGAGGTAGGGGGTGAGGAGAGGAAGCAAAGGTGTGATGAATGAGATAATTATCCCGCATGTTCCTTGCAGGCCTCCACTTGTTATTTATAAAATAAAACCTAACCACTACACCACACTAGCTTTTGGGGGGTGGCTGATGTTAAACAGTAGCAAGCAGCCAGGACTGCACAAGTCATGAAACTTGCATGGTAGCACCAGTGGTTGCTGCTGGCGCTAGACCAAATAAGTCCTCCCTCAAAGGACAA